AAAAAGAAAGAAAATCCCCAAAAAGAAAATACTTTCATCATCATTCAACACTTTCACCACACTCGCACATTATCACTGCTTTTGCAGAGGTGCTCAGAATACAACAGTTTAGAAGCTTATACGTATAAAGATACACAACATATCCCTCCAAACTGCCAATATCCCAAACCCCTCCTTTAAAGTGCAGGCATTGTACTTCCCATTTCCAGGACTCAAGTCAGGCTATAAGAAAATAACATATAAATAACATATATAAATAACTTATATAAACATTTTTTTAACACACTGGCTGTCTCCTACCAAGGCAGGGTGATCCAGAAAAGAAAATTTCACCATCATTCACATTATCACTGTCTTGCCTGAGGCATGTAACCCCCTTCTGTATACGTAATTACTGAAAATAAGAACACAAGTGCTACATGTACATTATAAAGAACCCAACATTAAGAGGCGTGGCCCACTCAGCTTGTTCCCCAAAAGACTGTCCCTGGGATACTATCAAATTTTACTGCAAAGCTCTGCATGATAACTCAGTATTTCATGCTTCTAGTTAATGTGGAGATATTCTGAAGAATAAAAAAAAAAGGGGGGGGGGGGAGAGCAAGAAACTGGTTAAGCAAAATCATAAGGTATACTAATTATGGAGATGCTTGCTTATCCTACTTATATCTAACAAATACACATTAAATTTTCTTATTCACACTTTTCCTACTAGAAAAGGATGACTATAATACCAGGAGCAAGGGGCTAGTAACCCCTTCTCCTGCATAAATTTCCAAGTGTAAAAAAGATACTTTTTTCTTTTTTGGGTCACCCTGCTTTGATGGGATACGGTCAGTTTAAAAAAAAAAAATACATATTACAATCAAAAATATTCTCAAAGAAAAACAAGTTGAATATAGAAAGGTAATATGCACTGACCTGCATAGCCACAGGGAAGTCATTCTGTGCCTCAGGTGGGAAGAATACATCTACATTTTTTTTTGTGAAAGGCTGATTGCCAGCTGCTGGTTGTCCTACTTCAATGATGTGTAGTTTACCACCTTGAGCATTGCGCACAGCAAAACAAAACAGGGTTGATGGCTCCGCATTACCTTCCATCTGTTAAACAAAGAGTTTATTACTCTGCCAATTTAAAGACCATACAAGTTCTAAATACTATGCATACCTTCTTTTTTCTCTTTTTTTTTTTAGGCTGTCCACAGCATACAGGGGCAAGTTAATGACATACATTCGAGAAGAAGTCAGTAAAACAAGTAGATTCCTCGAGAATAGTAATGCAGATCCCATACCAATACGGAAGAGACCTACAAGTGCACACAAATTGCGTAAACTTGAATGCCGACAGGAACTTATTATTATTATTATAATCATAACTAAGCACTAAACTCATAAGGGTCATACAGCACACAGGAATTGGTGGTCTAACACTACCCAAGGTGTTAACTTCAACTATTCCTTGGCATTTTGTTCTCATCTTACACGTTCATTGCCAAGCTACAGTACTTTTCCCACAACCTTTCAAAATTTGAATTTATCAAACTAACCCATTTGGTTTAAGTAGGGTTAAGGTTTATTTAAATCTGTCAAGCACTTGTTTACAAAGTTTGCAGTCTTTCAAGTGTGTAGCTTCAGAGCTTTCTATCATCTGCAAAATTCCACAAACAGTGGATTTATTTTTTAATTCTTTTCTGTGTTCTCCCAGGCATTTCTATCCATTCTGTGGTAGGGAGATCAGAAATGAGCTGCATAATTTAAAAAAGGTCTTAAAGGTGTAGAGAGCTGAAGAATAATTATTAGTTATTAGACTTGGGTTACTTATTCTTTAAGACATTAATCAAAGTAATCAAGTAGTCTGTTAGCCTTATTATGCACACTTAAGCAAGGCTGTCTCTGGGCTTCAGATTTCTGCACAAAGTATCTGATCAATCTGTGGTGCCTACATTGCACTGCATGTAGCTAGAACCAACAGCCTGAATGATCAGGCCATCAACCAAGTAGTAAGAGTGATTACCTCCAATATCTTCAGGTAATCTTTAGGTATACCCTTAAAAAAAAAAAAATATATATATATATAGTACAAACAAAATTCTCACCTTAAATGTTGTAAAACCTGCAGCATGACCCTCAATAGGTTGGCTAGCTTTCCTGTCAATGCTATATAGTTGCATGAAACCCACTACACGGTTTTGTTGTGCAGAAATACCAATTAGCAGAAGCCAATTCTGTTTAGCATCTGTGCGATAGTTTATAATTTGGCAACCATTCAGGCTGCTATGGCGATCAAACATCTTCTGTGGTTGAGCATCACCTAAAAACGGAATATAAAGCAAAAATCAATATGGCATACTGTTTGAGAGATTAAAAATAACTTTCAAAATCAGTGAAGGTCTCAGGTGGGACAACCCACAAGGTGAACAGGCAAACAAAGAAGTCTATGACCAACATGTATGCAGCATTTTTTCTACACAAAGAATGCAATCCGATGTGATTTTGCACAAGTTTGCAAAAATTTCAAATGGAAAATTAAATTAAAATACCTTAATAATAATTATGAATATCTTACCATCCATACTCCAGTGATAAACTGCAGTTTCTGTCACAAGTGCCAACTTATTGGTGGATATCCACTTCCAAAACTGTATTTCAGTGTCCATTGTATGAGCTGCAAACAATACCAAATGGAAAGTCAACTTTTACTTTATCAATAATAAAGAACAATTAGAAAAATACTTTTGTTTTTCTTTTTGGGGCCACCCTGCCTTGGTGGGATACGGCTGGTTTGTTGAAAAAAAAAAAAATAAAAAATTAGAAAAATCTTACATTCAAAGCACTAATGTTAAAAACAGTATGAAGTCAATGAAGATAAATATATAATCAATTTTTACCAATGATTTTAAAATATACTTTTAACATTTATAGCATTTATTTACCTTTAATTTTGGTTTTCATCTCTATGTTGAAAATCTGCAAGGTTTTCTGAGCTGGAATAGAGTATAAACTATTTTAATATAAAACATTAACAAAAAAAAATGCAATCTATGTATTATTCAATCTTGGAATATATCATACTTGAAGGAAAGTGGACTATGGCTGACAGACATGCCCCAATAACAAAAGCACACAACTATGTCTCAAGTTTTGGCTGAACAACTCTTATTATAGAAAAACATGTGAAACATTGACACAGTACAGTGGACCCCCGCTTAACGATCACCTCCTAATGTGACCAATTATGTAAGTGTATTTATATAAGTGCATTTGTACGTGTATGTTTGGGGGTCTGAAATGGACTAATCTACTTCACAATATTCCTTATGGGAACAAATTCGGTCAGTACTGGCACCTGAACATACTTCTGGAATGAAAAAATATCATTAATCGGGGGTCCACTGTATTAACATTTTAAAACAGTGTGAAGCACTGGCTTGTATCTACATCTTGAATCATGTGCACTGGTGGCCTCTATGTGAAAGGGAAAGTCACAAAAATACTGGACTGTGAATAGCAAAGTTTCACGAATACCAAAGACAAATACAAAGACTCCACCGAATACTAAACCCGAGCGAAGCACTCGCTGAACAAGGTGAAGTGTTAGCAAAGAAAAAGTAACTAATAAAACCACTTTACAGATGTGGAGGTTGATTAAATGGTCTCAAAGTCAATGGACTACTCAAAGGGTCAGAAATATTGCATGTCACCTGTTCACCATCAGTTAAGAATACTTTAAACCCTAAAATAGGGATTAAAGTGCTCAGTGTACATATATATACACACACAACAGATACACCTCTGTCTATATCCTGTGACAAGATGTTGAATGTAGAATAAAGGCAAAAGTAAATAACAAAAATAATTAACAATGAATTCATAATCAAGTGAGTATCAAAACTTGAAAAACTTGAAACAGTGGAAGCCTGAAACTTCTATTGCTGTACTGTATTCTGAAAAAATACAATTAGGGCACAACAGATTCAAGGTTAAAAACAAGTAGCTAGTTTTAATATAACTAAGCTTGGTTTTCAGTATATACAAATATGCAGATCTGCAACCTGCACATGACATAGGGGAATAAGACTGAGGTGCAAGATTTAGTGAGCTGCCAAGAGAAGAGAAATGACTCAGAAATGTACAAGAGTACAAAGTAAAGTGATTTACAATTATGAAACTCATTAATGAATAATATTAGGGAACAAAAAGCCTTTGCAACTACCACATTTGATAGCAAAAGCAATAAAGTAGAACCATCAAGAGAAACTTAGCACTGTATTCACAAAAAAAGGAGCAAACTGAAGGATGGCGATTTGTGATATCAGCTTCATCTTGAAGCTATGTTGAAAAAATGTGTATGAAACAAGATCACCAGCACAAAACAGGGGTTACAGAACCCACAGTGGTCAGAAGATTACATGGTCTTGGTGCTCAGGTAATATACACAGCCGCTTCAACACATCTGAGAGAAGCGGAGGCAATAGCACTACATACGTCCAATTCAGTCAAGTACTTAAACTAACTGGAATGCCAAGAAAAAAAAAAAAGCAGGGAATCTATACCACTCAATTCTACAAATCATGATTCATAATACTGTAATGAAAAATTAGTAAATGCAGTACTGTATTTAAGAACTTCATAAAGCCCTTCTTAGTATCAAGTTAGACTATTTTAAATGTCTTAACAATTTAGCTATAGTACCGTATCGTATTGTATAAATTCAACATACCACTTCTTATACAGGCTATCTAGATATTTAATTACTTGACAAACTTAATGCTGAAATACAAAGATCACAGTTAATTATATTTACCTTTTAGAGCAATAACTTTTGAAGCTGGATTCATTATTGCTGAATCTCCCGAGATAGGGCGTCGGATGGGGTTAGTTGGATCGGCCATGTCAATAATCACAACCTGAGCAGTTTCTCCCACCTTCTCTCGAACACAGATAAACTTGTCCGACTCCATAGTGAGGGTATTAAACCCAATGTTGGATGCCTGAATCCCTACATTAGTGAGCTGAAATAAATAAATCTCAAATTATAACATATTATATTTATAAAACAGTTTAGCTATTTTTTTTACAAAAATCAGTTTTACAAGTTAAGATCTGTTATCCTACCTCGGCTCATTTCAAATTCCAGCCCTATCTAAGGTAGCCTACCACCCCCCAGGATGCAACCAACAACAGTCTACTAATGCCCAGGTACCTACTTACTGCTAGGTGAACAGGGACAGCCAGGAAACCTATCAAGAAATAAAACTATAACACAGTCAGGGCAAAACTCACTACCACAGTACATATATTAAAAAAAAAAAAAAACTGCAATTCAGTACAGTGGTACCCAGAATTTCGAACAGTTCCCAACTTGAACAATTATGCAAGTGCATTTTTGTAAGTGCATTTTTGTAAGTGCTTTTGTAAGTGCTTTTGTAAGTGCTTTTGTAAGTGTATGTTTGGGGGTCTGAAACGGACTAATTTAATTTACATTATTCCTTACAGGAACAAATTCGTTCGATAACGGCACTCAAACAGCCTTCTGGAACAAATTTCGGCCAAAACTCAAGGTACCACTGCATTTCAATAATGAAATGATTGCAAAACTCTTAATATGTACCAAACCATTCTCAACTTGTAACCTTTAAATTATTTGAATATTTTCAGTAAAACTAATAAAATAGGCAGTCACCCTTTCAAGACTACCACTAGCATTAAGTGCTTCAACACGGTTAATGTCTCAAGTGGTAGTACCTTAGGCTCATGTTTGAAAGACCTGGCTTTGATCCCAGCATGAGTGGAAACAGTGGGCATGTTGCCTTATACCTGTTAACTCTTTCCCTACAGGGGTCGATCCCCGGTACAGATGGAAACATTAGGATGTGTTTCCTTAACCCGTAAACGGTCAAAACGTATATATACGTTCCCTACCGTACTGCCCCAACTTTTTTTGAGAAAAAAGAAACATTGTTGTTTTTTAATAGGAAAAAAGAGCATATGGTACCCAGGCATCCCCAATTATTTTAATATGGTGCACAGTGAGTGCTCACACCCATTCTCACATGTCTAGGCAACTCAGGCTTATCGTGGCAATGTTAAATGTAGGACACACAAAACGTATATATACGTTTGGGGCACTAGCGGTAAAAACGTATATATACGTTTGGACCATTTACGGGTTAAGGCACCTGCTGTCCATGTTCACTTATCAGCAAAATGGATACCAGGATGTCAGTGAACTGGTGTGGGTCGCATCTTGGGACAAAACTGACCTAATTTGCCCAAAATGCTCAGCATATGAGGAGCTTTCTATATACTAGTATGTCACTGATATCGGCTATGGTCTGTATACCTTGTATGCATACTTATAGAAATAGGTATTATTCAGGATTACTATCCCCTTTGCATTAATTCAAATAAAACTCGTCTATCACCCAAAAATCTCCTCTGGCTATTTTGGTATACAGGTGGGCCCCATTTACAGCACTTCGCTATACAGCATTTCGTTAATGCAGCAGTTTTCAATTATACCCATTCATTATCTGTTCAGGCTTCACTAACTTGATCACTAGCACGCTCAACTCTCACACTGAGGTCCGGAGTTCGAATCTCCAGTATGGCTGGAAAACATTAGGACATGTTTCCATAAGACACCTGCTGTCCCCGTTCACCCAACAGTATAAAATGGGTACCTGGGTGTTAGTGGACTGGTGTGGGTCACATCATGGGACAAAACTGACCCAATTTGCCCGAAATGCTCAGCATAAGCGGCTTTTTATATGCATAGTAGTATACATGTGTCATTTATATCGGCTAGGCCTGTATACCTTGTACATGTACTTGTAGAAATAAAGATACTAATATGTATTACTATTATTATTATATTATTATACTAAGGATGAAAATATTTTAAGGTCAGTAATGTGTGTACTGTATACAAGCAGACCCCACTTATGCAGCACGTCTTATTGCAACGTTTCAATCAGCCTTGGGTGAAATAAAAAAAAATTAAATTCCTTGCTACCAGCATTATTTCCTCCTGAAAGAACATCAGTATTATATTAATGGTACACAAAACCAACAAGTAGACAAATAAAACAAGTTCAATACCTTTTTTTTGGGGGGAGACATTTCACCAACCCATGACTTATCAATCCAATACAGAGAATAAATGGATGATGATGTGAGGAGGTAATACGAGGTGATCATGACAAACCCACTGTTACAGCACATACAGGTTCACCCAGACAGACTGAATAGTCAATCCCAGTTCTGCCGTTTACTGAAGAGTATGTGGATACAGCAAGTTGTAATGCCACATTGACTTGTCCACATTCTAAGGCTCAAAGATTTAAACCAAGCTGGCCTTTGGGTGCCAATTCCCAAAGGCTATATGACATACACAGCGCATATTTTCGACGGTTACAAACTAGTACGTATACAACGTGACTCTTATTCTACCGACAATTAGGCCTTATGATGATTTGGTCAGTCTCAGCCTCGATAAATCTAAAGAAGAAACAAGAGGAAGGGGACTATGTAAGGCAAGGTGAAGCAGTGGATGACAGCATCACAAGAGGATGGAACTCAACATTTCGGGATCTTGGTATAGAGAATTCTTCTACACCTAAAACTGGCATGACCTACCTCCACTAGCGAGCTCTGCCTACCTGTGTTGACATTCAAAAGCTTCACCTCGCACCTCCAGTATGAAAGTCTCTATTCTTGTGCCTCCGCTGTAGATTCAGCAAGGCTGAGAGATTGACCACAACCTAACAAGGCCAAGTGACTGATCTCCCCATGTTACCTCCACGTCTTCCACTATTCTCTGTACAGTACTGGACTGAAACATTCATGAAACATCTCCACAATAAAGACAAGTGATAAGCATGAACAAGCTCAACATTTAACAACCCAACAGACACCACAAAAACTAAATACCCAGACAATTTATATAATTTGTTGTCTTTTACCAGTTCAACCCATCACTAATAAGGACCCCAATTGAAACAAGTCACTGACTTTTTTTTTTTTTTTTTTGGGGGGGGGAGGTTATCCTAGGTAATTTACACTATGTATTATAATTGTACTTGTGTACCTGTACATAAATAAACTAATAATATAAACTGGATTAAGTAAGTTTATTTAGGTACTGGTACACAAGTACAATTGTCAGGCCTAGCAACACGTAAATTACCCTCTAAGATAACCACTACTCCCCCCTCCCCCCCAAAAAAAAAGTCAAACTGACTCATTTCCAGAGAGGTCCCAGATAGTTCAACAAAACCTAGTCCGAGTATTCATGGCTTGCTGGGGTCCTTAGCTTACACACTGAAGAACTGGTGCAGTCCCCAGCACAATACCTGGAGCATACCTGGAGAGGGTTTTGGGGGTCAACGCCCCCGAGGCCCGGTCTGAGACCAAGCCTCGTAGTAAGTGAAATGTTGGAAACATTTCCTTACACCTGCTGCCTGTTCACCTAGAAACAGGTATCTTGGTGTTAGTCGACAGCTGTGGGAAGATTTCCTCAGATTTTTAACCCAGAGGGTCGCATCCTGGGGAAGAATTAGACGACCCCAATCAACTTGGTTCTAGACGATGCATGGGCTTCATTAGGTTATCCTGGATTACTAATCTTCCAGATTTAAAGAAATTATAACTAATTTTCTTATGGCATATTCCAATAGCTCGATTGCTAGCGCACTCAGCTCGTACACTGAGGACTGGGGGTCGATCCCCAGTATGGGTGAAAACATTAGGGATCATTTCCTTAAGATACCTGCTGTCTATGTATACCTAGCAGTAAAATAGGTACCTGGGTGTTAGTGAACTGGTGTAGGTCGCATCCTGGGACAAACCTGACCTAATTTGCAAAAAAATGTTCAACATAACAAGGGGCTTTCTATATAGTAGTATGTCACTGATGTCAGCTATGGTCTGTATAACATGTACTTGTAGTGAATAATAATTATTATAGGTATAGTCTGTACACCTTGTACATGTACTTGTAGAAATAAAGATTATAATGATCCATAACAGTTACGTCTTGCAATAAATTACAAATTTGGGAAAGACTCCCTTGAAAAAATAATAATTTTGATGGCTATAATATTAATGCAGAGTTCATAATGTGTAAAACAAATAATCCAGTGACTGCTGCAACTGCAATACTTATAAACAGAGGTCCACTGTACCAGGCCTAAATTTTATCCTCTCACCGCAGGTTAGCCTACCCTGCATGCTCCTAATATGGAATTTCCAGCTCCTGGGCCAGAGTTTAGTGACGTTTTTGCCTGAGAGGAGGAAATATTGGTGCTTTCACTGCCATACTTGAGGCTGCCGGTCACGTGATGTCACCTCCCTGGCCTCCCCCACCACTATCACAACTTTACCTGTTTTACTGCAAAATTATGGCCAGGTTTGATCCGAGGGATCATGAGTGTGAGTGTATAAGGGCGTGGGGTCAGGCCGGACATATTTAATTCAGAAAGTAAACCCCAATTGCTAATCTGGCGAGAAAATTACATCAGACTCGTCATGGTCTCCCACCTGCTACAACTTCACCCACTTATTTCTTTATTTCACCGTCACTTAGGTGGCCCTGGCCACTTAAGACACACCTGCAGTTGCTGCTGTGGCCACAGCAATAATATATTACAAGTGAAAATAGGTTTAAAAATAAGGGGTTGATGGGTTGATGTGGGTGGAGGGAGGGTTGGTGGGCGTCAGTGGTTGAGACAGCAGTAGTAACCAACCTGTAGGTGCTCCTGGAACCTTATAGGTAACATCTGCGTCATCTCTGCGGCAGGGGTGGATGAAGGGGGTGAAGAGGTGAGAAATCCGCCAGTGAGGGAGCTATACTGAGGTTGTAGGAGCCATGCAGAGCGCAACACACACTCAACAATATGTCGGCGGTGGTGGGTGGAGGTGGGTGACAAGTGCACCTAGTCTGCCTCTGCCGCTGCTGCCGCCGCTGCCACCGCCGCCGCCGCCGCCGCCGCTGCCGCCTCCACTGGTCCTCCCGCCGCCGCAGCCGCCACCAAAGTATTACTCCGCTGATTATGTTACCTCAACTCACTGCTCTCTCTGTGTTTTTCACCCCCTGGCGTGTAGGTGTGGAGTGTGTAGTGGGTGGCAGAGTGGCACAAGTGGCCGCCACTCTTCTATAAGGTTCAATAAGAGGTATAATAAAGTGGTAGAGGTGGACTAAGTGAGTTGCGCGTCCTGCCAACTGAGCAGCCTCTCTCAGTGTCTCATTGATCCGCCATGCTACCCTCCCTCCTCTCACTCATTATACTTCATGTTTACTAACATAAACTACCTTCTATGTACACTCATTTCCTCCATAAGTTCCACATTGATGGTCTTCCATGTATACCAGGTGCTAAAAGGATCCCAGGGAGGAAAATGCTTGTTAAATTCATGTGGGTGTGTGTGGTTGAGATTTAGAGGCGCGCGGGTGACAGTGCAGAACCTCACTCAGTGAATGACCAACCTTATTACTTATATATTTAACCTTTAAACTACCTTCTAACCTTAATGAATGACCAACCTTTTTACTCATATATTTAACCTTTAAACTACCTTCTAACCTTAATGAATGACCAACCTTTTTACTCATATATTTAACCTTTAAACTTCCTTCTAACCTTAATGAATGACCAACCTTTTCACTCATATATTTAACCTTTAAACTACCCTCAAACCTCAATGAATGACCAACCTTTTCACTCATATATTTAACCTTTAAACTACCCTCAAACCTCAATGAATGGCCAACCTTTTCACTCATATATTTAACCTTTAAACTACCCTCAAACCTCAAAGAATGACCAACCTTTTCACTCATATATTTAACCTTTAAACTACCCTCAAACCTCAAAGAATGACCAACCTTTTTACTCATATATTTAACCTTTAAACTACCCTAAAACCTCAATGAATGACCAACCTTTTCACTCATATATTTAACCTTTAAACTACCCTCAAACCTCAAAGAATGACCAACCTTTTTACTCATATATTTAACCTTTAAACTACCCTCAAACCTCAAAGAATGACCAACCTTTTTACTCATATATTTAACCTTTAAACTTCCTTCTAACCTTAATGAATTACCAACCTTTTCACTCATATATTTAACCTTTTAAACTACCTTGAGTGAGGTGCCTTGATCCACGGGAATGGAGCTACGGTACCTGCCCTACTAATACATCTGATCGCTTCACAGTAAATGTTAGGTTACTGGCTTATCATCCTGTGTAATTTACACCTCATAATACAAGATAATAATCTATACACGTTAATATATTACACAATAATCTATACACATTACAAGACAATAATCTATACACACTACAAGACAATAATCTATACACATTACAAGACAATAATCTATACACACTACAAGACAATAATCTATACACACTACAAGACAATAATCTATACACACTACAAGACAATAATCTATACACATTACAAGACAATAATCTATACACATTACAAGACAATAATCTATACACACTACAAGACAATAATCTATACACACTACAAGACAATAATCTATACACATTACAAGACAATAATCTATACACATTACAAGACAATAATCTATACACATTACAAGACAATAATCTATACACACTACAAGACAATAATCTATACACACTACAAGACAATAATCTATACACACTACAAGACAATAATCTATACACACTACAAGACAATAATCTATACACATTACAAGACAATAATCTATACACACTACAAGACAATAATCTATACACACTACAAGACAATAATCTATACACACTACAAGAAAAATAATCTATACACTTTACATGACAATAATCTATACACACTACAAGACAAAAATCTATACACATTACATGACAATAATATATACACATTACAAGACAATAATCTATACACATTACATGACAATAATCTATACACATTACAAGACAATAATCTATACTTTACTATATAACAATAATATATGTTACTACATAACAGTAATCTATAAGTTGCTATATAACAATATACATTACTACATAAGACAGTCTATATACACTACTGTATGAGACAATAATCTATACACATTACTATATAATAATCTATACACATTATAATAATCTATACACATTATATAATCTATACACATTAAAGTAGACAATAATCTATACCTGGAGTTTACCTGGAGAGAGTTCCGGGGGTCAACGCCCCCGCGGCCCGGTCTGTGACCAGGCCTCCTGGTGGATCAGAGCCTGATCAACCAGGCTGTTGCTGCTGGCTGCACGCAAACCAACGTACGAGCCACAGCCCGGCTGATCAGGAACTGACTTTAGGTGCTTGTCCAATGCCAGCTTGAAGACTGCCAGGGGTCTGTTGGTAATCCCCCTTATGTGTGCTGGGAGGCAGTTGAACAGTCTCGGGCCCCTGACACTTATTGTATGGTCTCTTAACGTGCTAGTGACACCCCTGCTTTTCATTGGGGGGATGGTGCATCGTCTGCCAAGTCTTTTGCTTTCGTAGTGAGAGATTTTCGTGTGCAAGTTCGGTACTAGTCCCTCTAGGATTTTCCAGGTGTATATAATCATGTATCTCTCCCGCCTGCGTTCCAGGGAATACAGGTCTAGGAACCTCAAGCGCTCCCAGTAATTGAGGTGTTTTATCTCCGTTATGCGCGCCGTGAAAGTTCTCTGTACATTTTCTAGGTCGGCAATTTCACCTGCCTTGAAAGGTGCTGTTAGTGTGCAGCAATATTCCAGCCTAGATAGAACAAGTGACCTGAAGAGTGTCATCATGGGCTTGGCCTCCCTAGTTTTGAAGGTTCTCATTATCCATCCTGTCATTTTTCTAGCAGATGCGATTGATACAATGTTATGGTCCTTGAAGGTGAGATCCTCCGACATGATCACTCCCAGGTCTTTGACGTTGGTGTTTCGCTCTATTTTGTGGCCAGAATTTGTTTTGTACTCTGATGAAGATTTAATTTCCTCATGTTTACCATATCTGAGTAATTGAAATTTCTCATCGTTGAACTTCATATTGTTTTCTGCAGCCCACTGAAAGATTTGGTTGATGTCCGCCTGGAGCCTTGCAGTGTCTGCAATGGAAGACACTGTCATGCAGATTCGGGTGTCATCTGCAAAGGAAGACACGGTGCTGTGGCTGACATCCTTGTCTATGTCGGATATGAGGATGAGGAACAAGATGGGAGCGAGTACTGTGCCTTGTGGAACAGAGCTTTTCACCGTAGCTGCCTCGTACTTTACTCTGTTGACGACTACTCTCTGTGTTCTGTTAGTGAGGAAATTATAGATCCATCGACCGACTTTTCCTGTTATTCCTTTAGCACGCATTTTGTGCGCTATTACGCCATGGTCACACTTGTCGAAGGCTTTTGCAAAGTCTGTATATATTACATCTGCATTCTTTTTGTCTTCTAGTGCATTTAGGACCTTGTCGTAGTGATCCAATAGTTGAGACAGACAGGAGCGACCTGTTCTAAACCCATGTTGCCCTGGGTTGTGTAACTGATGGGTTTCTAGATGGGTGGTGATCTTGCTTCTTAGGACCCTTTCAAAGATTTTTATGATATGGGATGTTAGTGCTATTGGTCTGTAGTTCTTTGCTGTTGCTTTACTGCCCCCTTTGTGGAGTGGGGCTATGTCTGTTGTTTTTAGTAACTGTGGGACGACCCCCGTGTCCATGCTCCCTCTCCATAGTTCTTGATGAACACAGAGTTCCATGAGTCTGGCCCTGGGGCAGAGTGCATGGGCATGTCATTTATCGCCTGTTCGAAGTCATTTGGCGTCAGGATAACATCGGATAGGCTTGTGTTAATCAAATTTTGTGGCTCTCTCATAAAAAATTCATTTTGATCTTCGACTCTCAGTCTGGTTAGCGGCTTGCTAAAAACTGAGTCATATTGGGACTTGAGTAGCTCACTCATTTCCTTGCTGTCATCTGTGTAGGACCCATCTTGTTTAAGTAGGGGCCCAATACTGGACGTTGTTCTCGATTTTGATTTGGCATAGGAGAAGAAATACTTTGGGTTTCTTTCGATTTCATTTATGGCTTTTAGTTCTTCCCGCGATTCCTGACTCCTAAAGGATTCTTTTAGCTTAAGTTCGATGCTTGCTATTTCTCTGACCAGTGTCTCCCTACGCATTTCAGATATATTGACCTCTTTTAGCCGCTCTGTTATTCTTTTCCGTCGCCTGTAAAGGGAGCGCCTGTCTCTTTCTATTTTACATCTACTCCTCCTTTTTCTTAGAGGAATAAGCCTTGTGCATACATCGAGTGCCACCGAGTTAATCTGTTCTAGGCATAAGTTGGGGTCTGTGTTGCTTAGTATATCTTCCCAGCATCGGTTAGGACTTGGTTTACTTGGTCCCACTTTATGTTTTTGTTATTGAAGTTGAATTTGGTGAATGCTCCCTCGTGACTAGTCTCATTATGTCGGTCTGGGGCTCCACGCATACATGTCTGAACCTCAATTATGTTGTGATCTGAGTATATTGTTTTTGATATGGTGACATTTCTTATCAGATCATCATTGTTAGTGAAGATGAGGTCTAGTGTATTCTCCAGTCTAGTAGGCTCTATTATTTGCTGGTTTAAATTGAATTTTGTGCAGAGATTTAAAAGCTCGTGTGAGTGTGAGTTTTCATCAGAGCTGCCTCCTGGTGTTATTACTGCAACAATATTATTTGCTATATTCCTCCATTTTAGGTGCCTTAAGTTGAAATCCCCCAGGAGCAAGATGTTGGGTGCAGGAGCTGGAAGATTTTCCAGACAGTGGTCAGTTTTTAACAGCTGTTCCTGGAATTGCTGGGATGTTGCATCCGGAGGCTTGTAGACTACCACAATGACTAGGTTTTGGTTCTCGACCTTTACTGCTAAAACTTTCACGGCGCGCATAACGGAGATAAAACACCTCAATTACTGGGAGCGCTTGAGGTTCCTAAACCTGTATTCCCTGGAACGCAGGAGGGAGAGATA